CTTCCTTGTTTCTGCAGCTTAGTGTTCCCATTAGACTGGACGCTCTGTGCAGAAGAGTTTTCTGCTTTGTCTGCCATCTTTTCTTTAGTGCTTGGGACAGTGACTAGTCCATAAGTATTAACAAGTGCAGAAGCCTGTGTATTCTTTCCTCCTGTACCACACACAGCATGTAAGGGGGAGTTGCTCTTAGTCCTGCACCTTCCACTTCCCAATCGGCTTCTCTTCCCTATCACAGATATGCTTCAGTTGGACCAACTGCTCAGATTCCCCATAACACTCACATTTTTCCTGGGTGTTTCTTGTTCAGTCAGGTCTTTCTGACCAAAATGGTCACCTGCCACCTTTGCCTGTCCTGCTTTGAAAAGCTGCCTTTTCAGTCCCAACTGCAGCATCTTGTCCATGAGGTAGGCTTACCTCCCACCCGTGGGGTGTGAAGTTTTCCTTCTGAGCTCGGAGTTCAGGTGGAAGTTAGCACTTTTTTGTTTTTGAGACGGGGACTTGCTCTGTAGTTCAGGTTGGCCTGGAATGCACAGTGAGCCTTCGGCCTCACAGGCATGTGCCGCTGCACTCAGCCCACTTTCTTTTTCACTGTCCTCTTCCTTTTTCCTCTACTTCTATGCTGTGGGTTTCCTGAGGGCAGGATCTATATATATGATTTATCTTTCTGCTCCACAGTGGTTTTCAATTAGTTGATTGTCAGCGTGTACTTTACTGTTAGCTTATTTGAAAAAAACAATGAAACTTGTCTGGTAGCAAATTGTATTTAAAAGCACTACTCAACATTTCTTATAAGATGGAAAAATGGAAGTGAATACAAGGTACCTTGTTTGATTAATCGTCCTGGACTTTCTTTCTCTTAGCTGCTCAGGGGAATAATGAAGTCTCCATGTGGGACATGGAGACTGGTGACAGGAGATTTACGCTCTGGGCCAGCAGTGCACCGCCCCTTTCGGAGTTACAGGTTTGTCTCCAGTGTTTACTGTAGGGGATCAAGTTGTCCACATCCTGAGCACATACGGATTTTAGCAAGCCTGTTCTCTGCTAGGCTTATGGGTTATATTTAAATCAGAATTTTTGGGCCAGCCAAATAGCTCAGTGGATTAAAGTGCCTGCAAGCAGGCACAGAGGCCAGGGATGGGAATCTCCAGACCTGCTCCCAGGGCGCGCTGAGTCAGCAGTTCAGACTGGGCGTGGTGGCACATGTCTGTAATCCCAGCTCTTGGGAGGCTGTAAACAGGTGGATCACTACTAGTCTGATCTAATAGTGAGACCCTGAACACCCTGTAGACCCTTCCCTAAAAAACATAAAAAATAAATAAATTGGAGTTTTTAATAACATCAAGTATCATGAAACTATTGCTACACAGGTGTTTTCTAATTCTTTAAAGCATGCTACTGTCTGCTTCATTGACTTTTAATTGTTAACTCCATAAGGCTTGTACTATCTTCAGGACCCCAATAGACCTGAGTTAATCAGGCAAAGCCTAGATTGAAGTTTTGGTTATTAAAGAATGGAATATGACCTTCTTACATATACAAAGAGCTCTGACTTAAGATGGTCTGACTTAGAATTTTTTGGCATTATGATGATAGTTCAAAAGTGACATGTATGTATTCACTAGAAGTCATACTTTTTATTTTTGTCTTTCTAGGCTAGCAAGTAGGTGTTATACCATCGTGATGTCAGGCAACAGCAGTGATCACTGCTCTCGTGGTGGGATCATAGGAATAAGGAACTGATCCTCTGGGCTAGGCATATGAAAGATTTTGAATTTACATTGTCTTTATTGGAACATAATTAAAATAAACTGAGGATCACATATACTTTCATTTTTAATAGTCGTGTTGGCAGTCACTGGGGCATAGAGCAGATTTTTCTTTATTTGGGATCCTGTGTGGGATGGTCTCGAGAAAATTTCAGGAAGCTAAACAGGCTACACCTCTCTGTTCAGAAAAATAGAAGTGACTCTTTTAAACTCCTTGTGTATGTCTTACTTCTCATGCTCGCTAGGTGCTCATAAAGCTATTGACAGTTAACCTGCCTCTGGAAATGGTGGGTTCACTGGTGCCTCTTATTTAACTCTGTTTCTTTCTTTTAAGCCTTCTCCACACAGTGTCCATGGTATCTACTGCAGTCCTGCAGATGGGAATCCTATTCTGCTAACAGCTGGCTCAGACATGAAAATAAGGTGTAGTATCTCAAAGAATATTTGATTCTTAACACATGGATGGGCACTTTGATTTATGAAAGTGTTACTGTAAAGTTGACAGTTATCAACACTTTAGAAGAACAACTGTCAGTATACTTGTAATTAATGTTAATGCTGTTTGGTTTGAAAACGTCTCTTTTCATAATGCAAAAGGAAACTGTGTCCATGAATGTACGCCAGTGATTACTATGCTCACTATCCAGCAGAGATTATCAACCTTTGTTTCTTCCTCTCTAGGTTTTGGGACTTGGCTTACCCAGAAAGATCTTATGTTGTGGCAGGAAGTACTGGTTCCCCATCTGTGTCCTACTACAGAAAAATAATAGAAGGCACCGAGGTTGTCCAGGTACAGTACTCTTCGTGTTTCTTTCAAGTTGTGTAGATACAAAAATAACTTTAGTCAAGACCAGCAGTAATTATTTTAATTTAAGAATAACTCTAATTGTATAGCAAATTGAACAGTAGGCACTAAGAAATGTTTATGAAATAATTTTTATTTTCCTTAAATAAGAAAATTAGACATGGACAAGTTATTACTAGTCCAAGAATAGTCCATTCAGGAAACACAAAACTAATTCAGACATGGCCTTTGGGACCATAAAACTTGTATTCTTTCTTTGTTGTTGTTTGTTTGAGACATATCTCACTATATAGTCCAGGTTGGCCTTGAACTTACGGCAGTCCTCCCTCAGCCTGCTGAGTGCTGGGATTGCTGATGTGTACCACCATGCCTGGCAAAACTTTTATTCTGGACTTAGACAAAAATTTCAAATATGGCATTTCTGTGTCTGGCCGAAGTAAATGCTCCATCAGAGAAGTATGCTTCTTAAGGAGCGTTAAAAATGCTACAATATCTGATATGCTCTGTCCCCTTTTTTTCTTTCATGCAAATAAAAATTCATATGCACAAGATACTGGCCATTGATAGATGTTCTATATTTGTAAGTGGCTTCTCAGTGATCCAGTGAGTGGAACCTAGATGTTATTTTGGACCAGTGCATTCTACTTGTTTTCAGCTGTTTGTGAAGCCCACTCCCTTTACATGGAGTGTTAACTTCCAAGCAGGGGCAGCGGTGCATCCTAGAAGCAGGGGCTAGAATGTGGTGCAGATTTAATTTCTGACTGTCTCCTTGACCTCTAACCATCAAACAGGAAATTCAGAATAAACAGAAAGTAGGACCAAGTGATGATACCCCCCGAAGAGGCCCAGAGTCTTTGCCTGTGGGACATCATGACATTATCACCGATGTTGCTACCTTCCAGACAACACAGGGCTTCATCGTGACAGCTTCTAGAGATGGGATTGTGAAGGTGTGGAAATAAAATCTGCTGTCTGGTATAAAGTTGTAAGGGTAATACAATTCAAAATAACACATATCTCTAGAGAATGGAAGAGCAGATTTATTTGCTTAATTTAAAATATCATGTCTGTATTATTCTTTCATAACTAACAGATGGTACTCAGAGTAGAGAAGGAAGCTGACTTGGCTAGTTTACTTGTGCAAATCTCTGCAAGAGAACATCTGGGACTTTTTATTGTATATGTCATTGAGGTGAGAATTGTCAAATGTAGAAACTGATCTCTGTTTATTTTGTATTGAAAAGATGGTTGTATGCTATTATAATATAAACAGTTTTGTTATTAAAATGCTATTTAAACCACCAACACTGTGTTCAAGCATCTTAGGAGGTTTTTATTTGTTTTGGGTGGTGTTTTACATAGTAAACAAAGTCAGAGGGGTAAACTTTCCAACTGCATTTGCTTAGCAGGGAAGAAGTGGACTGAGTGCCACAGAAAGCAGTGACAGAAATACTCTGGACTTGGTGCTGTTACTGTATCTTCTTGCTTGACAGTCCTCCCCACTAGTTACCGCCAGAGAATCCACACCTTGTGTATCAGCTGTAGAGCAGTGTGGCTCTTCTTGGCATTTTTTTCCGTACGCTATACCATAAATGTTGTTCTACCATCAGCTTTCATTTTATCCAGTGTTATTAAATGTATGAAAAAAAGGTCAAGTTGAAAACATGCCAAAAATGGCTATTTCTATGCCAAAACTTACCTTTTCCACTTAAAACCCTTCAAGATTATGGATTATGTTTGTGTATGGACCTAATTCTTTCTACATTTTGTTCCCTTCCATTTATATAAGAGTTTATGGTGCTAAAACTATTTTAGTTTGAAATTAGTTACAGGAGTATAAAACCAAAAAGTTGAATAGGTAAGTAATGTTTTCCCCAGACAGTTAAAAATACTTTTATAAGTATAAAATTCAGCTTGGTACATGACAGTTAACAATGCATGTGCCTCGCTTCATGACTTAGAACACATAGCTTTTGTGTGGATAGAAGGAATTGTCAGGAAATCCCAGTCATTCAGAAAGGTCCGAGTGGAGCAGTGGCCCTCACTAGTCCACACATTGAGTGGATTTGTGGACTTTGCGAGTCTGGCGTCGGCACTGTTGTGCCGTATTTCCCCTTTCCTTCCAAGTACACAGAGATCAGACTTACAGGGTTTTGGCCAGTAAGTCAGATTTAGAGCTTTCAGGGTCAGGGAAAAATGTTGTTACTTAAATTATTGCATGGAGAATGGGCTTCTGGATCAGCAGGGGGGGCTGAGAGCTGGGAGACGTGGCAATAGGGATAGTCCTTGCTTCCCACCTGCCCTTCCGAGGGTCTCAGTCCCCAAGTAAAGGTGCTTTTTTAAAAGAGGTTATTTGGTAAAATTGTTACCGTTACAATCAGAAATTACATCTTTTTTTATTTGTTTTCTTTTAACAAGTTTGACTTGTAGCTCAAGGTAGAGATAATGAGAGGCAGGTCCATGCCAGGCAGTGACTACATTTTTAAGTCAGGAAGTGGACCTTTTTATTTTGATTTTGTTATATAATATAAGTTCGTTAAATTCACGTTCAAGTTAATTTTTGCTGTTTTCCACTTTTAGTAGAAAGAAAAATCATGCAACATGATACACAGGGATTTGTTTTTAAAAAGAATCTTCTGTTCACAGCATGACTTCAGGCCCCTAACCAAATAATGATTAGATATGACCCCAAATACTAAAATAATCTTAGTCACCAAGGGAATATTTGTTTGGTTTGCTTTACTTACCAACACACAAAAAAATAAACAAATACATTTTCAAAATAGTTCCAACAATAGACATAAGAAAGATGTTTGTGCTTAATTCAAAGTTAGTTAGAATAATTCTTGTTACTAAAATAGCTCTTACGTGTTGCTCATCAACTTCCTATACTTGAAACGGAAGTATCTCTGACCCCCTAAGCACCATTTAGGACAGATGAAGAAACCTGATGTGCTTTTTCTTCTGTACCTGAGTATGATATTGAACTCCCTGGATTTCTCACCTTTGAAGACATCGGGAGCGCTCTCTGTGGAGTTCTCCAAGTAGGGATTGCAGAAGTGGTTTACAGAAAGAAATACTTTCATGTAGTTCTTCCTTTCGGGCTTTATGAAAAGAGGTATAGAAAAGAAAATCTGAATGCAGCCTACTGGGCTTTTGTGTCTTTAACCTCCTGCCCCGTACATCTATGTAGGGCTTCCCCTCCTTTCTGAAGACAAGGACAGTCTTAGGCTGAGGTAAGGACTCAATATTGTGTTTAAAAGCATTTAGTTGTTACAAGTATCAGCCCCATTGTAAGAGTGAAAATTGGATGGAGAGGAGGCATCAGAGCTGTCAGACTGCAACTAGAGGCTAGGCATTTCCTGCTCTAACTGATTTCACATTTCTCCAGCCCATATGGATTCGTGGATTAAAACGTTAAAGGTTTTTTTGCCTTTGCCAAACTCAGCATCTGTAAAAGGCTTTCTCCACCCTGTAGTGGTGCTGCTCATTGTTGACTCAGTATCCACTTAACGGGTAAAAGCAACATGGAATCTCTCTCCTAAGTTTTTCTTTTTCCTTTTCTTATCTGAATAATATACAGATTGGTGAAAGCAAGCGACCATAACAGGGAAGGGCAACTGGAAATCCATCAAAATGGCTTGGCAGGAAATTCTATAATGGAGATAGAACTTCCAGCTCCAAAGCAATCACTTACGTTTCTTGATCAGTTTAGGAGGATTTAGAGTTGAAGAAAATTACCATTTGCTGCTCACCAGTCCAAGCAAACACTGCTATAGGTGAGCGGGAGATTCCTAGCACAAGCCCACGCAAGGACTACTCAGTCCATAGGCAGTGTTATGTTTAAGTGGAATAATCACAAAAAAATCACAATATCCAAAAACATGACACACAAACAGCATCGATTTCTAGCCTAAATATTGAATCCCTTTGGTTAAATAGGTGAGATTTAAACAGTACTAAATTGAGAAGGCTTAACATTGAAGAAAATGGACTGAACAGATACCTGCAACTGAAAGTATTACCACTGGCCCGTGTATACACATGTACATACTTAGGTAAAATTCACTTTCAAATTGTATCTCCATTAGACTTAGTGTTCGTAGTTGTCAAATAGACACTGTTTTAAGTTACTTGATCATGTACAGCCTGTGGCTTGTTCATCCCTCCAGAGTGTACCTCCAGATACAAGGCAGCTACCCAAATAAAATTTGCTCAGTTGTGGAGTGGAATTGGTTATTATTTAAGTCAGCATTACCATGTTTCCTAGGGCTCAGTTGTTCGAGCACTTCTATTTTGTTTAGGAATAGTTTTTATCACTCTTCTTCCGTTTTTCAAGGTAAGGTAGATGCCTCCAGGAAAACTTCGAAGAGCTTCATCTCTGCTGCCTCGTTCTACTCTTGAAAGATATTTTTTATCTTGAAAGAGTTTCCCTTCCTGTAGTGCATCTTTGAGGGCAGTTTTATATGGTCCAGGAACAAAGCTATCCAAAAAAAAGAGAACATCATAGAAGGTAAGTCCCACTTCAACTTTAAAATAATCTATATTAATCTCTTCCTAAATGAATTATTGCACTTATTTCCTAGTTGCATCCTTCAGGGAATTTGAAAAGATTACTAAATTGGAGCTTTATACTGATCCATATATCAAAAGCTGACAGATGGAGCGTTTTGCTTAGGGATGAGAAGTGTGGTTTTCAGAGTGAAGTTTCTTTTTCATGGAGTACATTTCACCCAGATCTTTGTCTGTGGCTGGCCTTTCTGACTGTTCAGATGTGAGTGTAAATGGTTCATCATCAGAGATGATTACATGTTTCATTTTTCCAGTTTCACTCTCATTCAACATAGTATGATTTGGTTTCCCATGTAACACTAAGCACCACCTGAATTTCTGTTTACTCCTAAACTTCCCTATGGTCTCTCCTCCCCCTCTTTACCCACCTACATAGTGAGTTTCACGAGACCTCATCTTTTCATGTGGTAATCCTCAATACACATTTGCATGAGTGTATGCTACCCTTCCTTTCTTCCACCTGTCCCTCTACCCATCCATTCAGATTATCAGTGTGTGCCCCATGAAAGGCGGAGTGAGGTTATAGGGAAAAAAGAAATAGAGCCCAATCTAGCAGGTACAGAAAGAACCTAATTGGAATCTATGAGTAACCAGCAGTGTAGGAGAGCTGAGGTTAGACTCTGGAATGCCTTGAATTCCAGGCTGAGAAATAAGAGACTAAGAAACCAATAATAACTATGAACTCTAGCCTAAACCTTCGGTGTTGATGGAAATCTCTAGTCATATGCACTGGCCAGTGTGGCAGCCACCAGCCACATGTGACCACTAGACACTAGAAATAACTGAATTTATAACTTTAATTGATCTATATTTGTGTAACCATATATGCCTAGTGGCTAGTGTACTGGGCAGTACAGAAATGGGGCCATTTCAGATGACCTTAGTTTACAGGGACATAGAGGAGAGATCTGCAGGTCCTAAAACATATTCTTGCTCCTCCACCTATCAAATTTTGGGCAAGTCATTTAACTAGACTGATTTTTTTTTTTTTTTTTTCAGGTGTAAAAGGAGGGAAAAAACCCATGTAAGCAAGAGCTGAAGTCTCCTAGCCTAGTTACCTCAACTGTTAGTTTCAGAGGTGCATAGAGGGGAATCAGTGGTGACCAGGGCTGTATCCCAACCAGATGCCCCATGTCACTTCACTGAGTGAGGTTTTTATTATTTTAGAATACTGTGGAGAACAGTAAACAGACTTGAAATAGAAAGTGAGATGGGGGCTGGGGAGATAGCTGAGTAGAATGAGCGCTTGCTTGGCAAGTTTCTGAGTTCAGTCCCCGGTACCAAAAAACCCCCCAAAGATGGTATGTGTTACATACGCTATGGAAGCATGTCTATATGGGTACAGGACCTCAGGAAGGCAGATGGCCTGGGGCCGGCTGGACAGATGAGGTATGAGAAGCCCAACACATAGTAGGCGTGTCATAAATACTTGTAGAGTGGACATGGGCGAGCCTGGCAGCATGAGAGAAGAGAGGTTTCTTAATACTGACAAACCAGCAGTTGGCTGAATCGTGATCATGGGAGGAGGAGCCGAAAGAATATAAACATGTCCCGTGAGAACAGTGGCACTATTCGCTGGGCTCCTCTTTTTTTATGTTTTCTGTTTTTACCAGCTATAAAATCAGACATATAAAACATTACTATTCAGAAAATGAGTACAGTGGCAAGTTGAAGCTAAGATATTTCAGTGTATGTACACACCCCTCCCCCAGCACATAATCTTTATTAGTGCATGTTTGTAGTACATAATGATTACATTTGCTGCGTGGAGTTTGTATGTGTACTTAACACATCTGAATTCTTTCTTTTGTCCCTTTCCCTTCCCTGTTCTTACCAGCTCTTTCTCCCCATTTACAAAAGCTCTATTTTCATTTTTTTCAGCTCCTTTAAAATTCCCTTTTCCCTTTTCTTTCTCTCCTCTTGTCCTCATTTGAAAAAGATCTTCCAGCTTCCTAACATCTACCATTCATTTTTTACTCCTGATTTATGCTTTGGGCTTCTTATATAAGAGAACAGTGTAATACTTAAACTTGTGTGTTAGATTTATTTCACTTAAGATTATGGTCTTGAGGTGCATCCATTTACCTAAAAATGCATCATTTATCCTTTTCCAAAGTGATTTTTTTTTTTTTTTTTTTTTAGGAGCCAGGGATTGAACTCAGGCCCTTGCACTTGTCAGGCAAGCGCTTATTCTACTGAGCCATCTCCCTGGCCCCTATAAAGTGAATTAGGGGTGAAGGAAACAGGAGAACCAATGAAGAGAACCATGTGTTCATGTTACATAAACTCCAAAAACCTCTGCATTATACACTGCTTGTCTGGCCTTCTGAAACTCAACTCGGGAGTTTCTGTCCATGCTAGGAAGGATGTTGTAAGTTGAGCAGACTTCACTTACTAAGAACAGCAGCCACAGCTACATTTCAGTGTGAAAACCAACTTCCCTGTACTCATTTCCATTTTTCTTTCTTACATGTGTCAAACCCTGACTAGAATGAATTAAAGTCCCCCCAAATTCATGACTGTATTCAGAGAACATGGGGAGGGCATTCCTTTGAATCTGACATACACTATGTTCATGCTTTCATTCTCTTTATTTATAGTGTTCTTTTCCCACCTCTTATCCCCCCTCCCCTTTTTTTTTTTTGGTATTTTAGTACAGGGTCTGCAGGGTCTCACTACACAGATTGGACTCATAGTGATCCTCTTGTTTTCAGCTTCCCAAGCACTGGCATTACAGGTGCTCACCACCATTCTTAGTCTCAGTCATCATCTCAGCATGCCCCAGGGGTAGGGCCAGCGCAGCACACTGGGATCGAACCCGGTCCCTTGTGTCTGCCTAAGCCGGTGCTTTAATCTGCTGAGCTACCTGGCTGACTCTCCCTGTTTCTGTTTTTTTTTTTTTAAAAAAAAATAGCAAGTTTAGTTATCATTGTTATCTACTTTTTTCATTAAAAACTATTAAGCTGCTTTCTCACTTGAATATAAGGTTGAACACTAGATTTCTAGTTTTGTTATTGTATTATACAGAGTTTGTATTTCTTTTTTGGTAAGAATCTTTTGATTACCCAGTTTTCTCTTTCTCCTACCCTACACTGTTCAGATAATTTTTTGCTGATTGGCAGCTCCAACTGTAGATCACGAGACTGAAACAAAGATGAAATGGTCAACTAATACTGCAACCTGGTGCAGCTCCAGCTCATGGATATGAAGATGTGGCAAAGTCTAGATAAACAGGGGTGAATATAGTAGACTTGGGACTAAGTGTGGATTTGGGGTTTTGTTGACCACAGATTCTTCTGTGTGTACAGACCATCAGAAATCAGTCATGCTGTCCTCCTGGTTGACTGCAGACACTGAAAATGCACATGCGGTTGTTTTGATGCCAGAATTCTTCATCTTTCCGGAGTTCAGAAAACACATTTTGGAAAGCACAGTTACAGCAGATACGTTATTCAAATGCCGCTGGTGGCTGTGTCTGGTCTTACAATTTAGTCTTGCTTTCTCTGGTCTCTCACTGCTTTGGAGTCAGGCACAAGTGCTTCCCTGACTGCATGAGCCAAAAAGCAGATGGCTTTCTTTGATGGTCTCAGAGCAGATCTGAGTGTTTACACCGAGAGCCGCCTGCAGTGTCACCCTCTGGCTATCTCTCTCCACAGTTGGTTGTGGTTAGTTTCAGTTCCTTTTCCATTTGGTTAGAACCAGCTTCTCTGGTTATTTCTCAGAGCCCCAGGAAAGATGAGCTAATTCCAGGGCAGGTCATTCTGAGGACTTGGGCAGTCACCTGTACGGCCACACATTCCCATCCTCCTCTATCCTGCATGCTCAGTTCTGGTTCACTTCTCATTAGTGTTCAGGCAGGAAGCTTCAGAGGTGGCTTTATTCATTATCTTTTATTATAGTTTGGTCACTTAGAGAATGCCAGGGGATTCCCAGTCTGGTGTACCATTAGGTAGTCACAGGTAGTGGTATAGACTTTATGTCTCGGTGCCATGGTGGCCCAGCTCTTTTACCATTTTAGATTCATTTTAGAGAAACTGAGCTGCCTGTGTATCTAGGGCAGTCTAGATAAGCGGGGGAAGAGACTTCCTGTCCTAAAGCACTGTGAATCTTCTCTTCCTGTACATCAACAGAAGCATGGCAAGAATGCTTTCCACAAATACCTCTTCATGGTGGAGGCTGGCTACATGACAGCCTAATGCAGGCCCTGATGGGGACTCCTGCCCTGTGCTTTGGTAAGCTCCTGCCATCAGCCTCTAGAAGATGGCCTGGAAGATGGTGTGGAGCCAGCCTCTCCTTCTTCCCTTAGCTGGTTGTCTCTACCCATAATAGAGGTCTGAACCCCAAGAGTATCAGCACCTCCTGCCTGGGATATGCTGGGTACGTAGATGTAAGTGGGCAAAAGCCAAATGAACTGTGGCATCACAGTGCTGCTAACTCGCAGCACACCTGTCCTAGGACTCTTGAGTATGTGTGACCTCAGCCCTGCAGCGTTCGTGCACAGCCCTTATCAGGTAGGTAGAGGCCCAGGGAGTTGGGAGGTGCTGGTGGTGTGAACGAGCACATGTTGGCCCATGCTCAGCTGCTCCATTACTCTCAGGCCTTTGGCAAGTGCGAAACATCATAGCTAAAGAGTGTGACAGAGGAAGCTGCCGCCTCTTGTCAGTGGGGAGGGGCACCAGAGGGAGACTACAATCTGAGGCTTCACCTCCTGACCCACTCCCTCCAGTGACTTTATTATTTAATCATAATTTTTCCCCCATCACTTCTCTTTTCTAGGTATAGTTTAGTGTGGAAGAAAAAAAAAAAAAAAAAACTTCCATACTGGTTTTTGCCTTGGCCAAGAAAATTTTTTGCTGATGGTATATAGACAGAAGTTTCCAAAGACACTGTATATGTCCATTCATCATTTTTGCTTTCCTGTTTCTACCAAGAAAAATATTAGATAAGGTGTTTTCCTTCTACTAGGCCTCACCTCACGAGTTTCCATCCCCACCTGATGTTCTGGTCAAGGTATGAATCTGTATGGTTTAATCCATGGGTGAAGTTGGGCCCTCAGGATCGTCACCTCCCCTCAGAGAGGAGTGGTGCAATATATACATGTATCCACTCCCCAGGATGCATGTATTCATTACGTATTCTAGACGTGCTAAACACTTGTACAACACACATGCCCCACTTCTGAAAATACAAGCCTGGGGACACTTTCAATCCAAACCATAACACCAAGTGGATAAAGGTCACCAGCCCCAGCTCCCCAACACATGCCTTACTGCCCATTGGCCCTTGTAAAATACAAATTCAGAAATAACACTGAAGCTGGGCATGGTAGTGCATACCTGTAATACCAGCACTCTGGGAGGTTGAGGCAGGAGGACTACAAGTCTAACCCAGTCTTGCCAATATAGTGAAACAAAAAGGCTGGGGTTGTGGCTCAGTGCGAAGGCCCCTGGTTCAAACCCCAGCACCGTGCCCCAACCCCAATAGTGACTGCAGACCACCACAACCCAATGGTCATAACCCTCTACTGAGGGTCTAGGCTCTGCACAAGTGCGCAGGCCGTGAAGGTGGCCGGCTTACAGCACCTACTGCACCCACCTCCGCGACGGGAGCTGTGAGGCGCGATCTGCCAGAACGCAACTTGCCCAGCCCCAAGCAGGGCACCCTGTGTCCCCTGTCTTGAGCCACTAGGCACCGCCAGGAGGTGGAGCCCTGCTCTTCTGGCACTGATGGCGCTGATCTGAGACAGTGTGAGCTGCTGGACGGTTCCCGCGCTCCAGGCGGCAGACCTTCCTGGGGCTGAAAGAGTACTGCTCGCTTGTGTGTACCCGCAAGCTACATCTAGCTGCACCGTGTAGCAGGCACGCTGTCAAAGAATTTCACCTGTACGTGAGTTGTGGGTGCTGGTGCCCGCTGGGTCATGCTCAGTGGCTGGGACTGTGCATTCTAACTCCTTGACTTCATTTCTGATCTTAAAAAATATGAATGATATTTACATGAGCAAAAGATACCATACACCTTCCTAACTCATCACTTTTGATGAATTCCAATTCATCAGAAATTTTAACGTACTGCATTTTGATTAATTTGTAGTTCTAAAAATTTTAAAATTTTCATTATTTTTGTTCCATTGCTAATTTAGGAATGTGATTTTAATATAAAGTATACAGGCATTTAAAAACTTGGTTTTAGTTTTTAATGTAATTGCGCTGTAGCCGACAGTACAGATCACATCTCCAGTTCTTAGAGATTTGTGGACACTTGCCTCATCTGTAAAATCGTACAGCGAGCACCTACCGACTCTGCCTCTCCCAGCGGTTGCTGTTCCATGTGCTCCTTGGATGAATTTTTTCTCTGCAGGGTACTATATGCATTTATTAAGTCAAGTTTGTTACTTATATTTGTCTTTTGTGTCTTTACTAATTGCTGTCTGCAAACTTGTATACCCAGATCTTCAGTTTTGGGATAGTTCCATGGCAAACCCTTTTGTCACCCTGTAGAGACTATCTCACAGAATAGATATGCTTAGCAATATATTGTAATCTGATACTGATACAGCTGACCTAGCTGTTTCAAATAGTTTTCGGGTATGTGTTTTTCATCATTTTATTTTCAAACTTGCCACTGCTTTATATTGTAGATGTATCTCTTGAAAGCCATTAATGTTGGGTATTTTACTTTTTAAATCAAAGCTATGTCTTTCACTGTACTGGGATGCTTCGTCTGTATTTTTATCGTGGTTGTTGATATATGTAAATGAACTGGGTTCTGTTTTTTTGTGCCTTCTAATGCTTTTGTTTCTTTTCTTGGTTTTTTAAAGTATTGTTTGATTTTATTCCATTTTCCTTTGATTTTAGTGGTCTACTTTCTGTTTTCTCAGGTTTGACCTCAACACTGTTAATGCCTTTTAAAAGGATGTGTTATTTCAACAACCTAACCCCAACCTCACATAGATTAGATCCTGAGCACTACAAAATAAATAACTAAAGGCACCTTTAAAAAACAAAAAGTACATTTGTTTGGACTTACTTTATTGCTATTACTTCTTTGATCTCATTCCTGCTATGGTCACTTTATTTTCCTTGAAGTGTATACCATTTAGAAGTTCTTCATAAAGATCTCTTTGTGGTAAACTATTTTAAAAATCCGAACTATCTTTTTTACTATTATTTTGAAGGACAGTTTTTCTAAGTTGACAAAATTTTATTCTGCTACCTTAGATAATAAATAGTTCAGTAGTCTCGCCACTTTCACTTTGTTATTAATAATTTAGCTGCTAGTTTAATTATAACTTTTTTGTATATTATCTGGTCTTTTGCAGAGTCTTTTAATTTTTCTTTATTTTTGTGTTCTGTATTTTTATACGATGCCTAAATGTTGTGTTTCTTTATTTATCTTGCTTACTATACCTTATGCTCTCATATATAAATCCCATTTTTTCATATAATCTGTAAAGGTAATCACCCCTCTGTTTTTGAGTATTACATCTCATTTACAGTTTCTATTTTAGGTTTTCAGAATTTGAATTAGATATAGGTTAGATTTTTTCCCCCGTTTTTGTTTAGCTCTTAATCTCTTCAATAATTATCTATGCATTCTGATTTCTTAAGTCTTTTTTCCTAATTCATTATGTTTCTCTTAAGATGTGTTTGTTATTCATTTAATGCTTCATTGAGCTTTATAAGTTGTTTTGAAAACTGGAAAGCTCACAGAAAATCAGAAAGAAGAGAACCATATGACTTGCATGCCTTTCAACCTAGATTCTCCAGGTAGTATTATCCTGCTTCTTTCTATGCGAGTGGATGTGAGTACAGATGTATCCATAGGTATAGACATGTGAACACATGCATACATATGTGTACATACCTCATACTACATGCATCATGCATGCTATTCTTAAATACTTTTACATACCCATCTCAGGAACAAAGACATCCTATTATACAAACATACAAGCAATACTATTGCTGCTTATAAGGAAACCCACACAATCCAAACACATCATATAACTATTGTTCATACTCAAATTTCCCCAGTTACTCTTTTCTGATCAAGGATCTATTCAGGGTTCATACAGTTACATCTGGCTGTCCTCTTGAGTGTCTTTCTTTCAAGAGCAGTAGCCCAATCCATATTCCTCTGTGACAGGAAACCTATGAGGAGTACAGGCACGGTGTTCTGGAGAACATCCCACATGCGTGGAGTACCTAGGGATTTTCTCATTGTTTAACTCAGTCCAAACATTTCCAGCCAGAACTGCCCACAGGTCATTTTGTGTGTTCGGCTGCACAGCCTCAGAGCTTGGTTATGGGATACTGCTGGCCCTCCCCACAGAAAGGCACATTTTTCTCCTTTAACAAGGACTACCTGAAGGGCCAGTGAGATAGCTCAGCAAACTAAGTGCCTGCTTAGGCAAGCACCGGGACTGGGGTTCAATCCCTGGCACCACACGTTGTACCAGCCCCACTCCCAGGTACACTGAGCTGGCCACTGAGACCAGGTGGGGTGGTACATGCCTGTAATCCCAGCAGTGGGGAGGCTGAAAGCAGGAGGATCACTAGGAGTCCGAGCTGTATAGTGAGACCCTGTACCAAATACATTAAAACAAAATAAAAACTAAAACTATATGAATAGTCCCATGAAATTTTAACCTTGCTTGCTCCTCAGCAACCTCTGATGTAATAGTTTTAGCACCCCTTAATGATCAGTTATTACATTTGTAATTAACATTAATACATTATGCATTGCAAATTTGTTCCCCTCCCTATTCTATTAGGAGAGAGAAAAGCTATTTTTGACATAAGAAGAATTAGCTAATTCTTTTGCTCTTTTTGGAGGTATCTTTATAAACCTGTGGATTTTAAAAAATTTGTGTTATGATTCATTACTATCATTCTTTCTGATGTTCAAGTTTTGTAAGATTAGGTCAGTGGAAAGAAATCCTTTCATGGCAACTCATTTGTCTTCCTGACACAACTGTTAGTTTTTGAATATTTTCTTGCTTCCTGTTTGCTCCAGGCTAGCATTGTTCATTTCCTGCTATAGCTGAAATTGTATATTCTGAAGAAACTCAGAAACCTTGCTCTCTCTTAATGGGGAGTGATGGTTAGAAACCAAGATCTGGTCATTGGACATACGTGTTGCTACCAGGGGACCCATTGGATGTTTTATTTCAATAGACTTTCCTTAAGAGAAAAAAAAAAAAAATCTCTATTTGGTTATTTCTCAGATCGGTCTTCTCAGAACCTCATAAAGATTCTTCTTTGAACTATATTTTAATATTATATAATAGAAATTTTTGTCCAAATGAAATGGAGAAAGGACAAGAAGAAAAAGAGGAGAAAAAGGTAATAGAAGAAAGGAGGGCATATTTATCAAATCACAATGGAGCAGGTAGTACCTTCGGAACTGGCGTGGGGGCTGCTTTGAGGCTGTGGGGCTGAGCTTACTGCACTTCGCCTTGGAGTTCACCGGTGGATATTTGTTGATTGCACCTGGAAGGAGAGAAGGCTGTGTGAGTCTCTCATCTGTGCCTATTAACAGACTTGTAGTCTGTGCCGTCACACAGCACTGCTTTGTTGTTTCCAACACCCATCAAGGAAAGATACAATTAAGTGTCATAGGAAAGGAAGAGTATTTCTCAGGGAGCTTCTAGGTTTAGACTCCAGATAGTGCCGCGCTTCAGAAACTAGAGGTGAACTGAGCCAGCTTTGCAGTACAGTGCCCTTAACTGCTCTAGTACTTTATCACAGAAGAGATAGCACAAGCCAGGCCTAATGATCTGGGTTTTAATTGATGTGAACTGACCAGAATAGTTATATTTATCTCTATGGAGTATCAAACTGCAAAGGGAAAAGGACACTCTCTTTATGATCTGTGTCAGTAGTAACAATGTCAGCGCCATTTTGAGTTTAATTCATTAGTTCCTAATTTTGTCTGGGAGTATATTAATTTTTTGTAATAATAAAGTGTGCCTAATAACACTAAAAAGTGATTTTTTTTAAAAGGAAAATTTATAAATACACAACTTTTAAAGCATTAGGTCAAACACTATTAAATCTTTTCCTAACAACGTGGGGTCCTCATACATGAGTAGCAAGTTTGTCCTGAGCTGTGAGACGGCACCGTCTCCAAAGCCACATGCTTAGGACTGAAGGACCTGAGACTGGGATGTCACCCTTGTTGGGCACCTGTTGTTTAGTTTTTAATCTGTCTCATCCAGTAAGTGTCAGATGGCAGTTTTGCTTCACTTGGGTAATGTGTTGGTTGTGATGTAGACAGCACTTGATAGTCCTGTTATTGCAGTAGGTTAAATAAGAGTGGCCAATGCAGCTTTTGAAAGCGCTAGCACTTCAGCAGTGACTAGGGCAGTGTTTCCTATCATTCCTTGGAGTTGGCCCCCAAACTGCTAGCGGCTCAGAGTCAGTGCTTAATGACCACATGCTCCTGCTTAATGGGGAGTGTGAGTGTGGGAGGGCTGCTCTAGCACTGACTCCCTGTACTTTTACAGCTATATTTTAAAGACTGGAGATGTCTATGTCTCTCAGTTCTAGCAAACTGCATCATGGCTATAGTTTTTCAAAAGCAATTTTATGTATCTCCTGTACCCTAAATGCATTTTTTCTTAAAACATCTCTTCCCCTTTCAATGGGTGGGAGAGTTGGTGGCATTCATCTTATCATATAATTTGACTAATTACCATGAAATACTACCAAGAATTATGAGGAACCAGGGAAACAATTTTATTTTCCAGTACTAGACGAACGCAGGGCCTTTACACTGAACTACATCTCTTGCCCTCTTTTACTTTGTACTTGAGACAAGGGCTTGCTAAGTCAGCCTAGGCTCAAGCTTGAGATCTTCCTATCTCTGCCTCTATTTTCAGACTTCCTTCCAACTTAAACCTCATATTGATCAATCTTTTGAGATACTCTTTTACCCTTCCAAAATATTTGTGAATACTTCTTCCAGAATGATCCTTTGCTCTTGTGTTTTCTCAAGCTTCTCTTTCAGGTTTTTATTCCAGATTATAACATAAATTTCATTCCAGGAGCCTGTTGCTCCCAAGCCAGTATTGCTCAAACCATAACAAGCATATGGATCACCTACAGATCTTAATAAAATGCAGTCTAGTTTAGAATGCCTGCAATGAAGCCAAGAATCTGCATTTCTAACAGGCTCCTCAGGTGTTGCACTTTGTGGCTCCCAACCCAACTCTAAACGGAAGAGGCCACAGCATAAATACCTCCTCAGCAATGGTCAGGCTGCTTTGACCTCCCCCTACTCTGGTAGGTCGTTGTCTTTATACCTCTAACTGGTCTCACTGTGTAGCACCAGTGATGAGTGTGAGACACAACAAGGACCTTCAGCTATAGGTGGGTGCTCTTTAATCTGTTGTTTTCTGTATCTAGACATCAAAGAACCATTTACCATGAAAACATTCAGAAATTTTACCTAGTGCTCATCAGCCTGCAACTGTTATACCATAGTTCCTTTAAGTCCATCCTGTTGCATTCAAAAATAGGTTGCATATTTTCAAGGCAAGCTCAGCCCAAGAAATATGATCCATGTTTATTTTTTATTGGCACCAGTTACAGTAACTACTGGCATCATAAAAAAAAAATCATTAATGAGGTTAAGAAAGTTTTGCAAGCCGATATCTTTCATTCTGACATGTGAAATGGTATCTCCTAACACTTCAAAATTTGCCTTCGGAACCTGTGAAAGCAAAGCCAAGAACTGCTTAACTTTCTTTTGGCTTTCTCTTTTGCTGTTAAGTGATGAACGTTTTCCTCAAAGAGCAGCATGTTAATGTTACATGGCAAAAGCTCTACTTGTAGCTAGGAGCTGGGATGTGGCTTCCATAACCTAGACTACACTACTTCATGCAGGCAGATGTGTGAAGAGCTGCGTGTTATGATTTTTTTCTCCATAGGAACCAGAGGCATAAAAAAGATGAGCCAGAAAATTAAATGCTTAGAAATCAGTGGTTTCCTCCCTCCCACCATCTACTAGTGCATATTTTCCTTTCTGACCATGCAGTGCCCTTGAAGACAGACAAAAGGTTTCCAAGAGTATGTGTCATCTCATCAACCTTTTACTGGGGAATACCAAGTACACACACAACATGTAGGGAAAAACAACTTCGTGACTTACGCCTGACTGAGTTTATAAAGGACTTTACAAACTTCACACCATATCTGTGGTCAGGTTTATGAATTCGCCCAAGCTGGATCAAGTGGTAGTCCAAAGGATGGCTGGCTAGATCTTCCAGTTCCTTGTCATTCCAAGCAGGGCCGAGGGAAAGCACAAACAGAGCATAGCCCTGACATTTGGCTCGCAAGGACTCTTGCCTTAGGGTTTCTCCATCTAAGTAACTGGTTTCCCCACCGGATATCACAAATATAACCTTGTTTTTTCTCAGATTGGGTGTGCTTAAGAAGATATTGTCCAGAGTCCACCGCAAGGCATGACCAACAAAAGCATCTCCATTCAGTTGTTGAACTGATTGTTCCACATGGCGCTTCATGAGGCGCTTGCTGCTGTAGGTGGTGAGGTTGAACTCAGTTCTAACTGGGCTCCTGCGGGTGTTGGGAAGGAAGTCAGGGGGAGCATGTGTCAGTAGGGCTACGCGGTCACCAGTGAAAGAGGTCTTAGGCTCTGGGGTGATTTCAAAGTGTTCCAACAGTGCCCCAAGGAAGCCTCTTAGGTCTTCAAATTCAGCACTTCCCACATTCCGGGAGCCATCCAGCAGGAACACGGCATCCATGTAAGACTGTGTAGTAGGTGGTCTGGCTTGTTCACAAAACAAATCTGGCCTGCATATATCTGTGAACCAAGGTCACTTCAGGTTACAAAACAGATATGGACAAAAAAAGGAAAATCATACCTCAGCTAATTTAACACTGGGAGACTGAATAATCTTTGATGTTTTAAAGCAGTCGTGAACTGATTTTAATATCAACAGCTGTATGATTCCCCAGTACACAGCTTGCATCCATGTCTGAAAAGTACAGTTTTTGTATCCACCTGTTTCTCACACTATTCAAATGCTAATGGCATTTTTTTTAACTATGAGGCTGCTTGCAGGACAAGTTTAATCTTGGCTGTGAAAGTCTGAAGTGAGCAATTTATCTCATGAATGCAAGAACGTACTGTATTACATTATGGTCTTTCTAGACTGACAATATGCAGGTTAAACTGATGGACTTCATCCTGACTCGATCCTTGTTTTATGAAAAATAATCTGCTTAAAAGGTAAAGCTTCTCATTACAATTTAAATAAAACTTTGCAATATTATGTGCTCCCTATGGATGAAGTTACAGCATATATTTTTTTAATTCCATAGTACTTATTAGTTGAAAGCATTATCCAAGTTGGTTAAATAAGTGAATAGGAATATTACTTACGGATTTTCACAAAAGATGAGGCCATTTTTATAAATATGCATCTCATTAAAAAAAGATGCAGAGCAAAGAGAGTGGATTTTATTGAAACTGACCATAATGAATACTAATAAAATAAACTGGCAAAGAAGAATGTCACCAATTACCTAATCTAATTTTATAGAATATACTGAGCCAGGAGAGTGAATCATTTTGCCAAAGGACACACCAGTTACTAGAAGTTTCTACAGATGAAGTCAGGGTTTTATTGTTAGAAATAAGGCCATGTGGTGTAGGATGAAGAGGCCTTTTAGCATGAGAACTGGAATGTTTGAGTCCTGATCTTGTCATGGTACTAAACATACCGTGTGCCTCTGACAGGGCTCTGCTGGGCCTCCATTCTGCAGTTTCTCTGTGCAGTAAAGTGAGTAGACCTAATCAGGATCAGATTCATCCCAACATTGTGAGAAGTAAGTGGGTTTGAGGTTGCAGTTTAGCCTCTCAGACTCTAAAAGGTTCACCAACACTAGTTTATGCATTGAAGATCTTACAGCAGGAAAGACCTAGTCCTGCTTGGCGTTCAAATAGGTCAGTTACAATGGTGTTGCACTTACGTGATTAGGGATGGATTTTGTCTTGGCCCAAACCTTTATTTTGTCTCTTAGGCATATAATGGCTTTATTTTTTAAGTAGATTATTTTTCATAAAACAAGGATAGAGTCAGGATGAAGACCATTGGTTTAACCTGCATATTGTCAGTCTAGAAAGACCATAATGTAATACAGTATATTCTTGCATCCCAAGGTCCCTCCCAGAGCTGCTAGCTTGCCTAATTTTTTAAAATAAAGCTAATGATTTAAGGATGAAAATGGCTGCTTTGAAAACCAGAGAGAAAAAGAAATGTAATAACATGTGTGCAGACAGCTGGTATGTAAATAAAAGCATGAGCCATAAATAAAAACTATTAAATGAAAGACCAAGGACCAGAGTGCAGATCCTAGGGAGTATAGCAAACTTTCTAACCTCAGTATTGTTCATGGGTTCAATAAAGGTTGTTACCCACAAGTTAGGGCTCCCTTACTGAAATATAGTCAAATTTTTTGACCCTGTATAATGATCAGATGACAAAACAGTCACCTGTGTACCAGGCAGTTTCCAAAATCTGGGACAGCAGGCTGCCCATTTGCTCCTTTTTGTGGGGTTTTAATTGTAGGAAATGACAGCCAAAATACCTTCCAGTATATGCCTAAGAGACAAAACAACAGTTTGAGTCAAGACAAAATCCATCCCCAGTCATATATGTCAATACCATTGTGACTGACCTATTTGAAGGCCAAGCATGGCTAGGCCCTTCCTGCTATAAGGTCTTCAATGCATAAACTAGTGTTGGCGAACTTTTTAGAGCCTCAGAGGCCAAACTGCAACCCCAAACCCACTTACTTATCATGAATTGTCAACACTGCAATTAAACCTGAATGCCCGGCTCCTGGGGTGACTCGGCTTGTGTGCCAACAGAGAGGGTTCTGTGTGCCACAGGTTTGCCACCACTGGCCTAAAATAACCCTACGCAACTAAGAGCGGGAAGCAAAGGGAAGACAGAAGGAAGAGCGTTTTGAGAAGACTCCAAATCTGACATCCAAGATTATCATCTCTCGAAGGTGGTTTATATGCCAAGCCCTGCATCTCACTGATATGCACAGTGCAGAGCAATCAAGCATTTTCTTCAGGCCTGAATGGAGTGTTTCAGAGGATAGAATGAGACCTCCATTCCTTATAAACTACAGGCAGCTGAGAGCGAGCCAATCATTGTATCTCTAAGCTTCATCTTCTTCCTTTGGAAAATGGAGCCAGTAATTGTTCACACATCTTAGAACAATTGTAAGGATTAAATGATGTAATTTATGTAAGAACAGTACTTGGAGCATGCACAATAGTTTCTCAGTGGCATCATCACCACTTGTCTTACATAAAGTGATTAGAGCAGGGTGTGGCCTTTAGTAAATACTTGGTCACAGTCCACTGCTCTTTCTATCAGAAA